CCCCTCCGACAGCTGCTAGAGCACCGTCATGCTTATCAAAGACCGACGATCATTGTATTCTTAGACATCCGCGCGGCCTTCGACTCTGTCAATAGGACCGCACTATCGAACTGTTTGCTGAGGAATGGAGTACCTGAGAAGTATGTGTCGAGTTATATCGTCATACCTCAGGTCGGGTTAGGGTCTATGGCCAGCTTTCGCCACCTTTCGCTGTCTCCAGTGGAGTTCGACAAGGCTGCCCTATAGCCCCATTCCTTTTCAACTTTGTCATAGAGGATGTTCTGCAGAATGCTTTGTCCGATCTAGCAAACGGTGGGGTTGAACTCCTTCCAGGGAACAGAGCTCTTGACTTGGAATATGCCGATGACATCGCCTTGCTGGGTGGCAACACAGAGGCAATCCAAGAGGCTTTGAACCGCTTGGCGATCGAGGTATCCAGATATGGTATGTGCTTTGCACCTTCCAAATGCAAAGTTCTTGTTCAAAACTGGCAGGAGCCTGTGCCTGCACTCACCCTCTGTGGTGATCAGCTAGAAGTAGACGAGAGCTTTAAGTACCTCGGGAGCTTGATCGCAGCTTGTGGTTGTGTTGGGAAGGAGATCACATCACGAACAGCGAAAGCTAGAGCAGCTTTCGCCAACCTGCGACACTTGTGGCACTCTTCAATCAACTCAATAAACAGGCACATCGAACTGGATCACGGGTACACGTTAATGCAGCTCAAGGATCAAATGACGTAACGAAAAGGATTACACCGTGACCTGAGAATGGACCAAAACCGCAATCAGGACGGAAGGACAACCCCCTCGCACCAGTTTAACGGTGAACCGAGTCGAATACAGTGAGAACAAGGGAAAAAATAGCCGGTGTGATGATGTTCTATCGCCTGGGTAACCCGCAAGCAAATCATGGGCTGAAGTCTTTTATAAAAAAAATTGAACTGCATTGATCGTTGACTTGTTTAGCACATACTCAGACTCGTGAAATACGGTAATACATTGGTTTAGCCGTTTATTGAGCGTAGTAAGAACAACAATTAATGTTCCTGTATACAAATAAAGCATATAGTTGTCATGGAAGAAACGTTATGCGAATTTTCACATAAGGATGTTCGAGATCAATGAAAAATGTCCCCACAGCGACGCAACCCTAAGATCCTAAGTAGCACGTAAGGAAATTTTTTCGTACACTGTCTAATATTGAAATGAGGAATCAGTAAATAAAGTTTAAACCTCTTTCCTACATGTAATTCCCGCGTTGTGGTTTTTGGAGGTTACATATCTTGTATTGTTATTATTATTTTATATTGTCTTCCATGTGTAGGTCCATCAGAGTCAAACTGGTTGGTCTCCTGTCTTCGTCTCGGACAATCTGTCTGTCATGTCTGTCGGATTCCTTTTGCCTGGTCCTGATCATCCTGTGATTTGGCGTGGACCACGAAAGAATGTACTCATCAAACAGCTGTTGACTGAAGTTTGTTGGACTGATGATGTGGAGGACAGCGGGGATTCGATGGAGGAGTTGGATTTCCTGCTGATCGATACACCTCCTGGAACATCAGATGAACACCTCTCGGCCGTACAATATCTTCAGGCTGCAAATTGTCTTGACGGTGCGGTAATTGTGACCACTCCACAGGAGGTCGCGTTGAGTGATGTTCGAAAGGTGGGTACAAGAATCGTGTGGATTTCAAAACTGAGCGGTTTAACTAGCAAGGTCCAGTGTTTAGATTCAGTTCCTCAAAACTCTTTGAATTATTTTCCTTTTGTTTGTGGTTCGTTTATGACTGAGAAAGAACGCATATCCCGTTTGCCTGATTCTTGGATCTAAGTGTGCATAAATTTAATGGAGAATGGGCTGAAACCGTCCTTGTCTGCTTAATCGTTTTCGGCACATACTTGATATGTTTTGATGTTTTCCATTTGAAAAACGATATTTTATTTGAAAACCTGACAGACTTTTTCAAACGTGGAGAACATTCAGAACCGCGTTGTGTCGGTTCTTTGTAATTAACACAAAATCAGTATGTCTATCTCATGCCCATTCGATTGCACAATAACTCATCATGCAATGATGATTTTCAATGCCAGGAGACCGAATTGGAACTGAGTTGTGTGGATTTGTTTGCGTTGTTTCAAAGAAAATTTTGGGATATATTGCCTAAGTGGCTTGATGCAGAACTATCTAAACAGAACTTATTTATCTGGAGACAAAGAAATAAAAGTGGCAAATATGATCAGCCATGAATAAGTCAAAGTTACACAGGAATTCAGAAACATGAATAGAGCTATGCAAAACAAAACAATAGTGAACAAACACCTAGAATGTAAGACTCTCACTCTTAGTACGGCTGCTTTAGCCTTGCTGGACATCGTGTCAGTATCTGTGAGAGTGGAGATCCATTCTGGAACCCCATAGATAAAATGGAAGCCTTTCAGGTAATTGATCGAACTCGTTTACTTTGTCCATAATCTTGCAACTTGCCAACTTCAGTGCAGTATCACAACAACAGTCGATCTTCAGTCTCGAACATTTTGTATTTGTGTAACTTCTGTAAGCATATATGCTTACATTTCAGTTAAAAATGTACACTGTTCGTCACGCAGAATGAAATAAAAATAATAAAAACGAAAGGTAAAGAATGTCGGTGATATACGTTTCATGTACAAAACATTTGACGTAGTTCATTTGATACCTGTGTTGTGTTTGGTCTAGGCGTACGAATGACACGAGCAACTCTTGCTTAACCCTCAACGACAACGCGCAGAGAGAACACAGGTTTTAGACACAGTCAGCGTGTATTCTTCGTTAAGTTATCGATATGTAAAACATATAGAACTAATCTTGCATTCGAGAACGACGCAGTGACGCACCAATCAGATTGTGTCCTTGACATGTCGTTTGATCGATTGGACAAAACATTGGCTGATATGTTCTGTGATCATCCGATCAGGTTCAGCCTGTCTGGAGCGTTGGGAGCGTGCGTGTGGCCTGACTCGGAGGCGTGCGTGATCGGACGGGTTGCTTAGGCTCCGTCCTAACAACCTGTTCCTTCTTTGGTGAGTAGTCGGGCCAGGTAAGGTACAGGGGAATTTTTATAAATGTTAATGCGAGACGGTAGNGGACGGATGGGAACGACAAGACGATAGATCAGGGTGTAGTGGATGAAGAGGGTCATCTAGAATCTTGTGAGCAAATTTAAAACAAGAGTTAATGTGACCATCAATGAGACCTGTGATTAATGGATCGATCGGAATTAATGATGCACGACTGATGATCACCAAACCACGGCAAATTGTTTTGAAGTCTTGTTTTAAAAGACCGGGAAACACTACAGGAGAGCAATAGAGTAGAATGGGNAACGCATTGATGAACGAAAGATAACAGGACTTATTGTGGGGTTTGGAATTGCCTGAGTTTGCGTAACTGAAAAGATAGGCTTCTCAGTTTTCCCACGCAGTTGAAAATGTGTGTAGGCCAACGAAGATTGCTGTCGATGGTGACACCCAGGTACTTCACTGTTCAGCCCACGACGAAATCTCGAACCTTTAAACTGCATTCCTTCATTTTTCATGTAACTGAAATAACAGTTTATCCATTTGCTGAAAAGATTGCAGCCTTATAATCAAGGACCGGAAAGCGCTTTACTGAGGCTATTCACATTCGGAAATTAGAAAAACCCCAATAGGAGCATATCGTTCTTGTAAGCCCATAGGCAACTAATGGAAGTTCAACTATCTATTCAATCCATGCAGTAGTGCTACACTTCTGTCACGCATTATTGTTGTTCTTTGTCGTTCTCTGTTCTCTTTTAAGGAAATCAACTTCTGTCACAAATTATCCATCCCGATTTTGGGCGTGGTAGAAAACATGACGGAGTTTATTTGTCCCAGCTGCGGTCACTCGGGTCCCGTATTCCCGCCAACAACTGGCGGTGCAGCATCCCTGTGCTCCAAAAACCCGAATACAACGAACAATGAGAACAGAATTTCAACAGATGACAATGGAGATTTATTCTTGCTCGGTCGATTACCACTTGATCCGCGATTAGCCCGAGCGTTAGATGAGGGTCTTTGCCCATTCGAGCTGGCTGATTCGAACGCCCTCCTGGAAAAAGACGTAGATCAAGGTTAGAATTGATGTTCGAATTTAACTACTAACAATTTGTCAGTAGCTTGTCACAGAATATTGTTTATTGATCGTGATAGCAGAGTTCTTATAAATGATCACGATATTGCCAAAATGAACGGCGAACATTTTCCTTCCTTCTGGTAATGACTGGTGCGTTACTGACGTGATACGTACGAGTAATTTCCAGTTGGTAAATTACATAATATCGGTTGCCTTGTTAAAGGGCTATTGTTAAAATGATGTTCTTTGTCAATCCAAACTTTCAAAGCATCTTGGCTGAATGCCAAATTTTATTAACTCCTTTCGTAAGAGAACCAGATGAAAAAATCTTTTCTAAATTTCTGTTTTTCGAACCTAACCTGGAATAGTGATACGCGGAATAGTCTGTTCGATACTTTGCGTCAGTTATTTTCGCACTGCAGGATGGGGAAATAGCTTTTGCTCATGAAATGTACCAACCTATCGAGAACATTATACCCTTCCCCTCTAAATCAGCACTATCCAAAGCTATTTATTCAGCTCCCTACTTTCTCGCGTGACAGTAATCATAACTACAGTGAATTTCTCGCCAAAGCACGCTCTAAACTCGAACGGAAAACGAGCAAGTATGTGCGTTCACGGTAAGACGATGAAATTATACTAGGGTTGGGCAATAATTCTGAAAGTTATGTAGCGAGATCAGCAGTTCTCAAGACTAGGGTATATGACATAGAATTTCCCAAATGGAAAACGCGTACAGATACTTTTCTGTACTCAATTTATATATATATATATCATGTGAAAATGGAGGATGTGGTTAAATTTCAAATGGGAGTTCGTCGTGTATATAGCAAATGAAGCGTGAACTGAAAAGCTCGGAAGCACTGGACAGCTGTTTCGAAAAACATTTCACCTGCCAAAACCGAACCGACAAAACCCTATTTATGCTATATTTTCTTATTCAGATGCACTCACTCGAAAGAAATTAGGTTACGAAACAATGTTGATCAACAGTCTCAACAATTCTTAGTCACATCGTACAGATTGCCAAACAATACAGATGTTTGGGTCAATGATTCATTAAGTTAAAGATCATCTGTGCGAGGATGTGTTTAGGCCCTCAAACGATCGACTGACACCGCGTGTCCGGTTTGTTGGTTGATGTGATGGTTTTCCGTTCTGTTCGGCACTTTGCCTCGCCCCACACAGGGCAGTAAAAATGCTGAAGCCGGAAGCGTTTTTGTGTGTGCCCGCGCCCGCGCACACACAGATCGGGATAACAGATGAAACAGAGGTTATAACCTTAGCTAAGGGCCCCGAAATCGGGTCGCTCTTGATCTCTTAGGGGAAATCTATCTATCTATCTGAGTCAACTTGATCACCATTGTTAATCAGAAGACTGGATCACATAGTGAATAGTGTTGACTAGGGAAGTGGATAATTTACTTTGATCATCAGCCGAGGATGGTTGTTTATAGGTTGAAGCAGTGAAAGTGTTTCATATCACTTTCACTCACCATGACGGCCACAGCGTAGCTCCACATCCAGCTCATGTTATGCTATCCGCATGTTCTCCATACCTCTTACTGTTTGTCTTGCTTCGTTCCCTCTCTGTCTGTCAGGTAAAGGCACAGAAAATAACTTACGATCATCAGACGCCGTCCTGGTTGCCTATAATCAGTTTATCGACCGTCTTTTGGATCGGCTAACACTATTGGGAAAATATCCCACACGTGATGCAGAAACCGGAGAAACACAAATGGCATCCTAATTCTGTGACATGATTGCCTTATTTATGATGTAAATATACGTCTTCTTTCTACATGAGCACATTAAATTTTCCCCCTGTTTTGTGTATATCCAATACCATCGCTATTCATCTGCCTCCTGCTGTTTTGTCCTCTTGGACAAGGGCCGTGTAGTGGATTGTTGAACGAATGACTCATCAGTCAGTGTAATGTCATGTTCCGTAATCCATTAACCTAAGCTCTCTCTCTCACTCTTGCCACAGACACGGGGAGGAGTGTGGTGATACCCTCGAGCCCCGGCGTCCTTATCAGCTTTCGGAAGCTACCTACTACACGGTTACACATGTTTGCTCTCGAGATGGATCATATACTGTCTAATCGATTCCTTTTTTAGGTATATTAGAAATGAAAACAAAACTGCATTCATTTCTCACGGAACATGGGTTCACGTGGAAACTGACAAGAACAGTTCAAATGTCTGACCAGCCTTTCATCTCGGACCTCAATCAACATACATTGAGTGTGTGGTGATTCTGACGAGGTTGATGAACGAGAACATATTGCCTTGTGTGTGTGTGTGTGTCTGTTGTATGGCCTTCTGACCTCCGCGGCATGCCATTCTGCTGTCACATATCCGACATTGAATAAAATTGGTTTCCGCGTCCACGTTTCCAAATATGCTATTGTTGAAGGGAAAAGGCGTTCGGTTCCATAACCAATTGGCCTTTGGTGAATAGCACTGTTTAAATTAGTCCGATCATTTTCGGGATCACCATTCGAAATGCCTCATATTTTACATCGACCGAAAATTGCTCTACAGAATCGGTCGATTGATGCAGTTGGTAATCATGATCTTCTCGAGACGTTATCAGTAATACTGCATCCTCTGTAGTCGAATTGTTTTTTTTTCGGGCGGTTAGGGGGCAGTCTGTTCGGATGTTGATCGGGAGTTTGAGTTGTTTTGCTTCGTGTGTTGTAAACGAAGACAGCTCTTGATATTTCATTAAAACGCGGGGTTTGGGTAGTGATATTTGAAGTGTGTTCCGCCGGGATACTAGTGTTGAGATGAACGAGGTGAGATGCTCGCAAACATGGTTTTGTGATATATTGTGAATATATAAAGTGAAGCCGTTAGCCCCGCTGCTCACTGGTGGTCAATCGGGTAGCGTGGGGTCGCGACCCTAAATTGTGCCAGTGAGATCGTAGTGCTAGCGATATCGTTTGTCTCTTCAACTGTATGGAAGACGCGCAAAGCGCACTCGACCGAACTGGCAAGTTCGGTCTGCGCAAAGTGATTCTTTAAGTCTGATTGTCGATTAACCCCACCTCAAAGACCAGATGAGCAGGAATGGGATGAAATGGCTTGCTTCTATCTACCTAGACATTTGTCTGACCAATTATGGCGGCACAATAAAGACAATCCCACAAATTTCTAAGGTTGGAGCGGCCTACTAGGGACTGACACATCTTTGGCGTTGACGCGACGTTTCACCTAAGTTGTAAGGTTGCGCATATTGTAAGACCATGAATATGCGAGTAGAAGACCCCCATCCGCTGGAGGTTTTCGACAATCAATGCTTCCTTGATTTTACCCAAATGGGACGGTGTGAGCGTGTTAGCAACCTAGAGCTAAGCCGTCGTGTGCTCGGGACTTTGTCGAGGCAGAATTTGTCATCACGTCAAATTCATATGACTAGGACTCGTCGGTTAGTACACATTTTGCCTATGTCTGAGGATTGTGTACCGCACCGCGCCTTTTTGGCAGTTGCCGCTTCGGGCTGAACAAAATCACGTAGAGACGCAGCGTGAAGACGTTCACTGAGCAGTTGGTAGGGTGTGTCACTCGTCTTCCACGTTGGGGTTCAAAAGACTCCGTAACTGGTTTTTTGTTGGGCCACTGACGGACAGTGCGGCCAACCGACGGCAGTGATGTTCTTGTCAGATCAGGAGGCTTGAGGTAGCATGCATGTACAGTTAGACTGCATTGTGTGGACCATAGTTTCTTCCCTCGTCCTCAGAATAAGTCCTGTCCACCTGGCGCGTTCTCGCATACCTAGTATGATGCATTGTGAGCTTATCAGCAATCAGGGAAGTTCGCTTCACTGTATTCAATTGTACAATGACTATGGTGATGAGATCGAACAAGGTGTAAATAGGTGTGCTGTGCTTACTATTTTTTCTTTTCACTCTCCTATTGGAAGCAAGAAGTTTTGGCATTTTGTTGCTCATATAGCTTAGACTGAATCGAGCAAGGATCACCAGGCTGTGCATAGATTTTCCCGTGGTAAAAGTCAAAATAACGAGGCAAACATGTTCCACTGACATCAATAAGTAAGTTCTATCTCGGCGGATTGATTCACCTCTCTCTCAAAGGTCGCTCGACACAATTGCCTGTTCTCCGCGCACTTTTTCTCCCAACTTGGTTTCATCGGCGGTGCAGTTTTATGACCTTGTTGCTTTGGTCATAAACGGCTGGTAGCAACAGAGACAAGACTTGCACATGTATTTACGAACTTCGCTTGTTTTAGCCACAATAAGTGAAAAAACTTTTCGACAATCTTAGAAGGTCTTTATCGGATGTGTCTTTGTGTGACGTCTGTTTTTTTAATGAGAGTTGTTCCTGTGCCTCACAATGGTTACGAGTATCCTAATCCACACACACACACACCCCTCCAAAAAGGAAAAAGGTTCGAACCGGTTTTCCTCACCTGTGAAACAATTGTCCTCGGGCCATTTGTTGTAATCACAACCTGACTGAGCAGACACTTTATGTCCCGATACATCCTATGTCTGTAAACTGGTTCCATCATACGCATTGTGTGTGTGTGCAAGCTTGCCCGTGGACCTCAGCAACTGGTTGACAGTTGATTGATGAATGGCCTGACTAATGAATGCCACTGGAATGTGATCTGACTGATGCTAAGGACAATCTGTGCACACCGAAAACGATTAAACACGTAGTACTTTGACGCTCCCTGTATCAGTTTTATTCCCTTGGTCACTACAGATTCCAGTGTTTATGGCTGTTGCAATCACAAGTTAATCATTGCATTCTTTTCACTCAGTATGATTGATTGTTTGTTCATTTCACTGATCCCATTTTGATTTATCTCTCTCTCTCTCTATGAGTATCCAACACCCCTACTTGGCTTTACACCCCCGCCCCTTTAGTCCTTATTCATCGAATCTGCAGTGCGTATAAGTGCATACAACAATTTACCTTGCATTGAAATTGTGGAAAGTTCAGTAGATTCGGTGGCATTCAAACCCACGCATAGACGCCGCCCACGCTTTTGTAAAGCGCACTCTATACCAGCTGAGCTACAAGGCCACACCGATGGCACTGATCTTTTCACATTCTAATGTGAAAAGCATGGGCGGATTCCATGCGTGGGTTCGAATCCCATCGGGGTTACTGAACTTTTCATAATTTCAACATAAAACTTCAACCTGCAAAGCAACTATTCGAACAATTTACCTTACGCTTTTGTGCTCCAGTTTTCCTTGTTGTTGTTGGGTTGACAATCCAGTGAGAAAGGGTCGTTTGTAAATCATGAAATAGAATGAATTTAAAAATAACACGCTTTGCCTTGTTACCTAGCCTTTTGAAAAAAGAAACAGAACCCAGCAGTCTAACCTCACCGATCGGACTCAATCCAGCCTTGAAGACTTGCACCTTTCCGCCGCAACATGCCCTGGTCCGGTTTAACTATCTCGTGCCAGCTTATTCGCGCGTAAAACTGAATCAATGGATTGTTGTGCTGATTGATATCTGAATTTGGTGTTCGACCACAGTCGCCTGGGGTTCGTCTGAAAATAACTTACTTCAGTAATAATCCCATGATGCTCACACAATATTCCGATTACAAGGACATTATTGCCAAATAGTTTGCTACAAAGCTGATTGCTTTCACGGTCCAATCAGCTGTAGTCATTTAAGCTTTGAGAATATGATGGTGATCATTTTTGTTTGTGTAATGCTCCTATACTGCCATCCATGTACACTTCCTTCAATAAACCGATTTTTTATGTGGACTTTTCCCGTTAAGGCTTTGTTTAAATTCATGGTTTTGAAGTGCAAAACAAAGTGATCGATGAAATCTCGTTCTGTAGATGTGTTTCTGCCCCTGAAGCAAAGCATTCAAGTGAGTCATTATTGTCAGACCGAAATACGATTAGGATTCGGGTGCATGGGAGAATGCGGTCTGTCCTCGACCATTTCGATAGCTCCCATTGCGACGGGCAATGAACTGCACCCGGGGGTGGCAAAAAAGCAATGAATGGTAGGAAAAGTGCAAATAAATTCGGTCTGTTCGATAAACAATCTGTCAAAGCGTGATTCACCGTACCGATGGTGAAAGGGGGAAACACGATTTATGATTATAGAGACTGATCAAATCGTGTGTAAATTGCATGATTCGTGTCTTTGGGTCACAGCTGAAGTGAACAACATCTATGGTTAATGGGGTCGGAAGTCGGAACTTGAACTGAGTCACAAAGACAATCACAAGCGGGTGTGGAGCAAGTATAAAATCAACAACAAAAGTAATCGAATGTTCCTGATGAAGGGCAATTGCCAAGAGTTTTCTATTTGCTTCTGGGGCCCAGGTAAAATTTCTTACTAACCGAAACATCAAGTGATTTAAGCGCGCCACTATCATGATTCAGTGGAAATAGAAGCGCCGACAGGTAGACTAACATTGAAACCAGCTCGTTATTTAATAACATCTAGTTGTAGGAATTAAGAGAGAATTATCTGGATCAAGTTTACTGAAGTTAATTGGATTTACTTCATTGCCCTCTGGTTATTCAGTACCTGGACGATGAAAACCGGATCACGTGACGAGCGTTAAAATTTAACCGTCAATTTGTCGGATTTCGTTCGATCGTCCGGTCAGGTGATCTATTTGGCTTCGCTGATTGTCAATCGGCTGTAGCGATCTTTGCGTTCCGAACTGGTTTCGTATGCAGATCAATTCTGGTAATTGGATTCAAGTTGACCATCTCGTTTGGGCTGTCATAT